CAGCGGCGAGCAGCCACTGGATCTTGTGGGCGTTCGCGGGCTGGTCGAACCTGATGCTGAACTGGTCGATCAGCTTCCTGGCGTGGACCTTCCACATGCCGCCGTGCCTTTCCACGGTGGCGTTCTGTTGCGGCGTAGCCGCGGCAGTAGTCATAAGGCGACAGCCCATGTCCTCGAGCTCCTTTGAGAACTCCCTCTCAAACTCGCCTCCTCCATCGAAAAGTACCCGTTGTGGTGCCCCAAACGGTGTAATCCAAATCTGCAAAAGCCTCGCGAATACAACCGAGGGGTGTCTTGAAGAAACTGTACCACATAATGTAAATCCAGAAGCGAGGTCGACCACATTGAGAAAAACCAACTGATTGCCGGCGTAGTCGGCGAGGGTGAACAAGTCCACTCCAATGGAATCATTGAAGTCCCTATCTAGCTTAATTCTCCCAGGTAGATGAGGGAGGGGTCGCCGATGGGCGGCGCAGACTTCGCAGTGCAGGTTGAGCGCCATCTCGACCGCTCTTTGGGATCCACCCGTCACTCGGATGGCCCTCCAGCGCATCGTTGGCAGGGTGCCCCGTGTTGACGTGGAGCTGCAGTATGGCGGACTTGAGCGTCCGCTCCTCCGCTGCCGTCAAGGCTGGCTCTGCGGGAGCTGCCGGGGCAGGCACTGTCCTCCTCGCGGCTCTCCGTCTCGTTGGTTCCGCGGGGTTTGCCTCGCGGTGCTCAGTCGTGTTCGTCTTGCGAAGCTGCTTGACCAGCATGGCGACGAGCTTATCAGTGTAGTTCTCGCTGTCCTTGGCGAGCTTGCCACGGGCCTCGACGTGTTCGTGTAGGCCGTTGCAAAGCTTGTGCAGCGAGTTGTCGATCCCGTAGTGGTCGGTGATGATCCTCCACGGCTTCTCGATCGCGTCCCCGTTCCTTGTCTGAAGGCCGTAAGCGCAGCCATCGAAATCGATGATGCGCGGGAGCTGATCCTTCAGCTTCTTCGCGGTGTAGTTCTTCCTCTGATCCCAGCCGTCGCAGTAGCGCGGCCACTCGAAAGAGACCGCGAGCTGGCTGCCAAACTCCTTCCGCAGACGGCTCATTGACGTCAGGAAGAGGTCGATCATCCTGGCGGAATCCTTCCGGTCCTTTTCCAGCTTCTCAGCCTTGCGGGGGTCGATCTTCAAGATGATGCGCTGCAACGTGGTCCATGGCGTGCATGGAAATGCGGCATGGACCCGTACACTCTGGCCCTTCCGCAGGTTCTTCCGAATCTTGTCCTCGAGCTTCTCGACGATGGGCTTCCGAGAGAGGTCATATCCAGGAAGACCGCAACGTACAGCAGCTCCTCCACTCTCGATCCACTTCGCACTGAGCTTGCTGTCGGAGTTGCAGCACCACTCGTAGAGGATGGTGGTGTTGCTCGAGATTCCGCTCGAGTTCGTAGTTTGCTTGGCCAGGTCAGCCTTGAGCGCCTGGCTGACTGTGTGTGGCTTAACGCCGCTCTTGTTGGTGACGATGGCTGACCGCTTGCCGGCGGTCAGCTGCAGCCTTGTCCCTTTCTTGAGCCGCCGTACCTTCATCTGCTCCTCCTCCACGATGTTGACCTCCTTCGGGTCGTTGTCTTTCTCGATGTCCAACGTGACCGAGTTGCCGAAAACGCACTCGGAGCAGAACCCGAGGTGGCAACAGTCTGTATAGGACTTGGCGCCGCAGGCCACGCAATCGTCGAGGGGCTCGGCGATGCAGGTAGTAGCCGACATCATTGTTGGAGCAAATGTCGGCGGCGTGACCGCCGTCGAACAGCAGACCAACGCAGAGCTTACGGCGGCCATGAGCTTTGAGCTGCCGCCGCGTCGCTGTTGAAGTCGTCTCGGTACATTGAGCTCCTTCTTGGGAATGAGTCTCGTGATATTCTCGAGCAAGTTGCTCGCCTTCGTAGTGAGGTTGACATTGGGCTTCGGGACTGGCCGCTTGGCGATGCTCTTGGTACTAACAGCCTTCGGTCCAAAATCATGCCCCGCGCCCTTGATGGCGAGCCAGTCCTCCGGGTGGAGGTCAATCGCGGGATGTCCTGCGCTGCTCGTGATGAGCTTCTGGGAATGGTTCCCGATGCGAATCTGTTCCCGCCAGAGCGAGATGTCGATCTTGCTCGGCTGGATGAAGTCCCGGCCGATAAGCAGGCCGAGCGTGGGGCTGTCCACGACGCTGAATATTATGCGACCAGCGCGGCCACACAGGACGAGTGGGGCTGTGACGCGCATCTTGCTCGGGAGCGTGCCACCGTTCCCGAACCTGTAGACTTCGTTCTCTGGCTCCTCCAGGATCTGGTCGGCCAGACCCATCTTGGTGAGCTTCTCCTTGCACTGCTTGTACCAGCTGAGCCCGCCAACGCAGAAGAGACAGGCAGTGTCGATCACGCCGACGCCGTCATCGTTGGGCTTCTCGCCAGCGTTGGTGGTGTTTATGGTGGGCAAGTCTGGCACCACGCGCTCGGAGACCAGAGTCTCGGGGGGCGGGGTAGTCGGACCTTCTGGATGAAGAATCACTTCCTCGTCACCAAACTCCACGTGATTCTGGTCGTGGACCTGCTCGGTGATGTTGGCCTGGCGGTGCGAGCGACCTCCGCCGCCTCGTCCTCCGCCCTTTTGCTTAGAATTTGGGGCGAACTTTCGAGCCCCTGGTGTCGGGCACTCCTTGTCACCGGTCCAGTGCCCCGCCTCGCCGCAGTCCCAGCACTTGGAGTTCTTCTTGCGCTGGTCCACGCGGCCTTGTAGCTTGCCCGCGGGTCGGCGCTTGGCCGAAGCCTTCCCGCGGCCCTTGATAGCTTCCCGGGCCGACCGTATGGTCGCCATGGCCTCGGGAATCGCGGCGAGCTCCGCCGCGGCAGCCTCCACCTTAGCAGAGTCGCCCCGATCGAACACCTCGCCGAGGTCGTAATTTGACTGCTCCAGCTCGGCGCTGAAGGCCTCGAGCTCCTGGCGCACGATGTCCTGGACGTCTGCCTCCGCATCGTTGTCGTCGCCGTCCTCCGAGTCCTCATGCTCGTCTTCTGGCTCGTCAGCGATGTTGGCTGATCGTGCTCGGCTAGGCGGTGAGCGCTGCCAACTACTGTTTGATCGCTGCGGCCACGATCGTGACGGCAAGCTCGCGTGTCGTTCAGATGTGTGAATATCGGGGAACATGCGCACCAGCAGGCCCCTGATGCGCTGAAATGAGTAGTGCTCGTCCGGCAAGTTGCCCACGACGCGCTCACGGCGCTCGGCCGTGAGCCCAGCCTTGCGTAGCAGGAACCAGCCGGCCACGTCGTCAAGCGTAGTGAGGTCAACCTCGTTCTCACGTAATTGCTGTAGTCCCGCCTCGAATCGCACGAGCCAATCCGTCATGCGTTCTCCACGGCGGCGATGGTGATGAGTCGACTCGAAGAACTTTTCAAGCGTCTCTCCCTTCTGCACCGGCTTCTGCTGGCCTAGGTTTGCTTCGAGGTGCATCAGTACGTTCTCGATGCCCTTCTGGTTGCGATCGCGCTTCTTCTCGTTCGCATCCTCGATGCCGTCGTCCGGCGGCGGGTGGAGCTCCTGCTCCGTCATGTTGAGAGCGGCCGACCTGGCTGTACCCGTCAGACGCAGGACTAACTTCGATGCCAGGCTTTGTGTCACTTCCAAATTCTCACTGAGCTTCCACAATTTTACCTCCTGTTTGTAATCTCGCCATTTCGCTGGATCTCCATTCCAGCTTGGTATCACTGACTGATTGTGTGTGAACTCCGTCATCTTGACACCTTCGTAGGTGGAGTATGTGGCGTCGCTGACACCGTCGTAGTAGAAGTATATGGCGTCGCTGACACCGTCGTAGGAGAAGTATATGGCGTCGCTGACACCGTCGTAGGAGAAGTATATGGCGTCGCTGACACCGTCGTCGGAGAAGTATATGGCGTCGCTGACACCGTCGTAGAGGAAATATGCCGCGTCGCTGACACAGGCGTGGGAGAAGTAGCTGTCGTCGCTGCTGAGGGTGGGAAGGAAGATGGAGTCGCTGGCGTCGCTGACGCTGGCGTTGGAGCTGGCAGGGATGTAGGCGTAGTAGGCGTAGTCGCTGGCGTCGCTGACGCTGGCGTTGGTGCTGGCGTCGCTGACGCTGGCGTAGATGCTGGCGTCGCTGACGCTGGCGTAGATGCTGGCGCTGAGCAACAGCGCGAGGAGACCGCTGGGCCTCGATTCCAGTATGGAGCGCGACGTCGCAGACGTCGTCTTGGGTATGCGGCCCCGCGGGCCGGGATAGCGAGCCTCGCTCCAAGCTACCACTGTGATATGGATGGCGCGCGCGGCGCGACGATCTTTAGGCGAAAGAGAGCGCTGCTCAATCTATCTGCGTAGCTCTAAGGCCAAGGGCCCTAGTTCGAAACAAAACGGCAGCGGCACGAGCGGGCGTGAGGGATAGAGCGGGGATGCAGGAAGGGCACGGGGAGTGAGCGGGAATCACAGCCTATACTATAAGATTTCTCGGTGCGCGCGTCGCCCCTGGGAGGCGACGCACATATAGTAGAAGTATGCTAGGGTAACGCCGAAGAAAGGAAGACGAGGAGGCGGGCGGGCATAATAAAGAGATGTTGGGGGCGAGGCAAGGCAAAAGACCCCCCGTGGCGAAAAGAGAAACTGCGACGCCAGGATCTCGGGGGGTAGAAGCCTCCTAGATGGGGTCGGAGTAGATGGGGTCGGATTGCGCCGCATCGCCGATGCAGGCGTGGAGAAAATCGCATCGGCGATGCGGCGCGATCCTTCGACCCCATCCACTCCGACCCCACCTGGGAGGCTCAGAGGGGGGCCGGTGCCTGCCCCCTCCCTGGGACCGGTTTCCCATCCTGGGTCGGTCTTCGACGGTCCCGAGGCCCCTGGCAGGGCCCCCCCGAGGCCGGCAGGGGGCCCAGGCAGGGCCCCCCAAGGCACGACGGGGGGGGGCCCAGGCAGGGCCCCCCCGTCGTGCCGTTCTGCACCACGCGAGGGGGTCCGGGGCGCCCTGCGAGCCTCGCCCGTCTGCAGCAGGTACAGCACGGCGCAGCTGGAGCCGTCGCGCCGCCGCGCGTCGAGGTCCGCGCCCCGCTCCGCGAGGAGGCGCAGGCAGTCCTTCTGGCCGCTGGCCGCGGCCAGGTGGGCGGCGCCGACGCCCTTGCCGTCCCGCGCGTCGGGGTCCGCTCGGGCGTCCAGGAGCACCCGCAGGCACTCCAGGTGCCCCTGCTGCGGCAGCTCATGGCAGAGGCCTCCTCCTCCCTCCTAGTCGATCCTCCTCCTCCGCCTCCTCCTCCTCCTCCGCCTCCTCCTCCTCCTCCGCCTCCTCCTCCGCCTCCGCCTCCGCCTCCTCCTCCTCCTCTGCCTCCGCCTCCGCCTCCGCCTCCTCCTCCTCCTCCTCCTCCTCCTCCTCCTCCTCCTCCTCCTCCTCCTCCTCCTCCTCCTCCTCCTCCTCCTCCTCCTCTTCCCCTCGACGACTACGCTCGGCCTGCGCCCAGCGGCCGCACTCCGCCCCCGCCCCTCCCAAGAGAGGCTCGAGCGCAGGTGGGGTCCGAGGATCGCGCCGCATCGCCGAAGCATGGGCGACGCATCGGCGGTGCAGCGGCGACGGCCACGTGACGAAAATCGGGCCCCGCATCGAGCCGCATCGCCGATGCATCGGCGATGTGGCGCGATCCTCCGCCTCCCATCTGCTCAAACCCCATCCAGGAGGCCCAGATCATGAGAGCCTCCCATGCCATCTTGACGCCAATCGACGCTAATCGACGGCTAGTCGACGCTGACCGACGGCTAATCGACGCTACTCAACGGTAATCGACACTAATCGACGCAAAATCGGCGCTAATCGACGCTAAATCGGCGCTGCCTCAGCGACTACCCGACGCTAATCGGCGCTCTAAGGATGGAATTGCGAGGGTATACAAGGCTCCCATGACTTTCTACCGAATGCCTCTTTCCACGAGCGGCGAACATATATCCATATCCGCGCCCTCGCGGTCTGGACTCCAGGGCGCGATACCGCGGACACGCGGTCGCACGGATACGCTCGGCGCAGGGCATCCGCGAAAAAACGCCCCGTATCCGCGGTGTCGCGGCGCAGGGGCCCAGCCCGCGAGGCCACGAATACGGACATGCTGTTCACCCACCATTGCGTCGAGGAAGCACAAGCACGAATCAGCGACACCTGGATGGGCGACGGGTCCCGCTTCCGTAAAAAATATCGTCGCGCTCCGTCGACAAGTCGGGCGGCACCGGCCTTGCGTTTCGGGGGGGGCGTCTCCCCCGATCCGTGGTTCTTGCGCCCACGAGCATCCTCAAGCACTCCAGGTGACCGTTTGGCATATCGGTTGATTGATTGCGGCTCTGTGGCTGATCCCCAAGACGAGTGGCAAGGGCCTTCCATGCAGAAACACGCCCAGGCCGAGGGTAGGAGCAGAGGAGGGCAACGACGACGACGACGACGACGACGACGACGACGACGACGACAGTGACGACGACGACGACGACGACGACGACGACCACGACGACCACGACGACGACTGCCGACGTCGACGACGAGGGGAAAGACGACGACGAACGAGCAACAACAACGACGACGACGACGAGGGGAAAAACGACGACGACGACGAGAAAGCAGAACCATTCGGAGGTCCGCGCGGATTTCCTTGGTAGGCGCTGGGGCCCACCCTGGCGGCGCCAGGAGGGGGGGCCCCGCACCGAACCGAGCAACCTGCGCAGAGCTCCGAAAGCTTACAGTGGGAGCTCGACCACGAGGAACCTTCCACGAGAAACCCGACCATGAGACCCCAGGACGTACACGGATTTTTGGTGTGGGCACGTCACGCTTTCCGTAGCAAAACCACCGAAACCCAATAAAAATCTGGAGCATCCCGAAGGCAACCAGGGTGGTTCTTGGCATGGGTTTCCGCTGCATGCTCCAACCGTTTCTGCTCCTTCTCGGGCCCTGGCGCCAGGGACGGGGGGCCCCCGCCGATCCCAGAGGCCCCCGCGGACCTCCGGGAACTTTGCGCGTGCCGCGTCTCTTCCTTCTCCGGCCTTGGCCGCGGCCCACATCGTGGCAGTGTGCCCGTCTCGGTCGGTCTCGCCCACGTCGACGCCGAGGTCCAGGAGCAGCTCCAGGCACCTCTCGGCGCCGCGCACGAGGGGCGCCGCGCGCGAGGGGAGGCGGCCCCCCCTCTGAGCGGGCAGGAGGGGGGGGGGGCCGCTTGAAGGCAGGGCTTCTGAGAAGGCGGGGGGGGGGGCTTCTTGAAGGCAGGGGGGGGGGGCTTCTTGAAGGAGGAAGGGTTCTGGAAGGCAGGGACAAAAAGGAATGGGTCTCACGCGAGATGGCATAGACACCGCGGGACACCGCGGGACACCACTGAACACCAGGGGACACCACTGGGGCACCGCGGGACATAACTGGGACCCCGCGGGACACAGGACACCGCGGGACACCATCGGGAAACCATCGGGACACCACGGCGGGACACCGCGGGACACCACGGGACACCATCGGGACACCACATCGGGACACCACAGCGGGACACCGCGGGACACCGTCGGGACAACGCGGGACACCTCGGCAGGACGCCCTCAGCCACCGCGAGCCCACCGGAGGGCCAGACTTTTGCATCCGAATGGCCCTAGCGACGGCGGGATCATTCCTCTCGCGCACCCACGGCGAGACACCGCGGGATAAAGCGAGACACCACGGCGGGACCGCCCCAGCCTCCGCGAGCCCACTGGAGGGCCAGAGTTTTACATCCGAATCGCCCCATCGACGGCGGGAGCAGTCCCCTCGCGCGTCCACGCAGCTTCGTCCCGACCGCACGCACGACACGAACACGAATCCGAAACCGATCTCCCGGCGTGGGGCTCCACGTTCCAGCCTTAGAGGAAAGAGAACTATGCACATACACCGATTCTGGCCAGGCCCATCCTGAGCCCAGGATCGGTGCATACGCCCTCCTACCTTGGCCAGGAAGGCATATGCACCGATCCTGGGTCAAGAATGGACGTTGTCAGGATCGGTGCATGTGCATAGTTCTCTTCGCCCGAAGCCTGGGGCACTGCCAGCAACGCCCGACCAAACCCCCCCCTCTGCCTGCTGCCTTCTTCGAACCGCACTGACCCGCGAGGGCCCCGGGGCCCGGCGAGCGGAGCCAGATCGCCCGCTGCGAGAGGCACGCGACGCCAGGGCCCGTGGTCGACGGGCAGCTCCGGCGCCCGCCCCCGGGGGCCCTCCCCCGCGGGCTCAAACCGCCAACCGCCAACCGCCAACCTCCTCCTCCTCCCTCCTCCTCCTCCTCCCTCCTCATCCTCCTCCTCCTCCTGCTCCTCCTCCTCCTCCTCCTCCTCCTCGTCCTCTGCTCCTCCTCGTCCTCTCCTCCTCCTCCTCCTCCTCCTCCTCTCCTCCTCCTCCTCCTCCTCCTCCTCCTCCTCCTCCTCCTCCTCCTCCTCCTCCTCCTCCTCCTCCTCCTCCTTCCCTCTTCGTCTTCTTTTTTTTTCCTCCTCCTCCTCCTCCTCCTCCCTCCTCCTCCTCCTCCTCCTCCTCCTCCTCCTCCTCCTCCTCCTCCTCCTCCTAACCCCTTTCCTGCCCGAGGGGCAGTTGAGGGCAGCGCACGTGAAGGGGGCGCAGCTGTCCCGAGCCTATCGCACTTGTCTTTGATGTCATGGCGCGACAGCGAGGCGGCCTCGCGGGCCCCGTGGCGAAGCCAGGCGGTGCGGGAGCAGGCTCTTGTCGGAGCGGCAGTCGAGGCGGCGGCGGAGGCAACAGCGCGGGCCTTGTCTCGCGCCCTCGCTCCTCCCAAGGCGCGTCCGCCAAGCCGACCGCCGAGCCCGCAGCCCCGGCGCCTGAAGCCGTCGTCGGCGCCGCTGCTGGCGATCTCCAACGGCGAGGAGGGCCTCGTGTCGAAGTGCGCGCCGCCTTCGCCTCCCCCAGGGCCTCTGGGAGGGGCCCGTCGCGGCTTCCTCGACGCAGGCGCCGCCATCGACCAGGAGGGCCCGCAGCCGTTCTCGCTCTCCTGCGGCAGGCGGCCGGCAGCGCCGGGCCAGGCTGTCACCAGTGGTCGAGCAGGCCGCCAAAGCCGAGAAGGAAAAGAAGGAGAGGAAGGACAAGTCCAGCAGAAAGGACAGGAACTGCAAGAAGAGCAGCAAGCAGGGTCGTGGGCCGCCGTCGGACTGGGATGGGCGCCAGGCCCGCGATCCGCGGAACCTGCACGCGAAGCCGTTCATTCCTGAGTTCCAGCTGGCGGACTCAGACACTGATGACGGAGGTGCCTGTGATGGCTGGCACTGGTGGCATCAGGCTGAGGAGTACCCGAAGACGGTGGGCATGGTCGCAGCCGACGTTGGCATCGACGAGGGCTGCTTCTTCGTTGTCACGCGAGTCGGCAACCACATCCTGTCGGTCCTGGACTTTGCTGACCAGCGCATCCAGCAGTTCGAGGACGTAGACCAGGAGAAGATCTTGAAGGCGGTGCAGTCTGGCAACTGCGCCAACTACCTGTACAAGCACTCGGATGTGATGAACCTCACGGAAGTTGGGTCACACAGCAGCAAGGAGGCGTTCGAGGATGGAGTTCATGAGAAGACCGTGAAGCCATCCGACAAGACCGAGCAGCTGGAGATGCAGGAGGATGCGACCCTCTGCGACACGTTCGGCGGCGAGGTGGCCGACGAGGTGGAGGAGACGTTCGAGGACGAAGGTCACGAGCAGATCGAGAAGGCATCCGACAACGATGAGCAGCTGGACTTGCAGGAAGTTGCGACCCTCAGCGACCTGTTCGGCGCCAAGGTGGACGACGAGGTGGAGCCGAACGGTGCGGAGCCCGACAGCGACGGCGACGAGGCTTACGAGCTCAACGCGGCGGTCAAGAACTCGTTCAGCCCGTTCGTGGATGCGGAGCTGGACGCGAACCCGCCGCCCCACAGCGTTGCGGAGGAGAAGGGCTTCGACGTGGGCGAGGTGGCTGAGCCCAGCTTGGACATCTACCTGGAGGCCTTCTTCGCGGATTTCAAGGGCTCCGAGGGCGCGGCGGAGTCCTTACGTACATGAGCTCCTGGACTGGGCGAGCAAGCACAAGGCAGCCTTCATCGTGATGATGCTGCTGTCGCTGTTCCTGGAATATCTCAACGGCCTCGTCGGCACGTCGTGGGCGAGGGCTCCTAGGTTTTCAAGGCTCTCCAGGTCTGAGGGGGAAGGTCGCAGTCTGGGTTTCCCCCTCCTGGTCCCCTGGTGTTTTCGGCGCGCTGTCTGCGCCCTGCAGTCGGGAGTCGGCCTCTCCCCGACTGCCCCCCGCGCCCGTCGTGGCGAGCGAGTCCGCTTGGACTCGAGGTAGTCTCCAGTCTCCAGTCTCCAGTCTCCAGTCTCCAGTCTCCAGTCTCCTCCTCCTCCTCCTCCTCCTCCTCCTCCTCCTCCTCCTCCTCCTCCTCCTCCTCCTGCTCCTCCTCCTCCTCCTCACTCCTCCTCCTCCTCCTCCTCCTCCTCCTCCTCCTCCTCCTCCTCCTCCTCCTCCTCCTCCTCCTCCTCCTCCCCCTCCTCCTCCTCCTCCTCCTCCTCCTCTCCCTCCGCCTCGCGCGCGCCGCTGGACCTGGGGTACCCCATGATGCTGGCCACCATGGCCGCCGTCCAGCCGTCGGGGCCCCTGGCGCACGGGTCCGCGCCGTCCTCGCCCGGCCGGTCGCCGCCCGCCGCCAGCGCCTCCAGGGCGCCGGCGTCTCCGAGCCAGGCCGCGTCCAGCCACTCCTTCGAAGCAAGGTTCGCGTCCTCCTCGCTGGACGTGGAAAGAACGGCAGAACCATATGATCTCTCGGAGGTCCGCTTGGATTTCTGGGGATCGGCGCGGGCCCCCCGCCTGGCGCGCCACGAGGGGGGTCCCACCGCCGACCCGGGAAAGGTGGGCGGCGAGCCCAGGAAGGACGTGAGAGGGAGCAGGCCTTCTCAGCAGGCGGCGGGGTTTCTCGGAAGCCCTCGCGCCTCTGGAAAGGCTTCGCGCCAGGGGGATCCGCGCGGACCTCCGAGGATTCATGCGCACTTGCCAGTCGGAAGAAGCAGGCGGAGCATGAAGTAGGACGGGGCTGGGCGTAGACTGAATCTGCGCCCGCCCCTTGAAGAGCAAAGGATTAGGAAAACGCTCGAGCTAGGAAGTAGGAGGGCGTCGAAAATACACTGGGATATGAGACTACACCAAAAAAACCGCCCACCCCGTCGGCGTGCGTGAGAGCGTTTTCCGCGTGAGTCGTCGTCGTCGTCGTCGTCGTCGTCGTCGTCGTCGTCGTCGTCGTCGCCGCTCGCCCTCAAGAGCTCCAGCCAAAGGACAATCGAGCAACGTCGTAATCGAGTCAAAGGAAAGTCCCTTCTATTTGATCCTGCGAATTCCGCTCGCGAGCAAAGCCGTGCTGGATGGAATGTTCGACCTGCTGCTAACGGCCGAGAGCGCCAGCTGCGCCCCTGCCGGCAAACTGGTCTGACCCGAAGTGGCTCCAAAACACAAACATGCATGGGCACACCCGCGTACTCAGAAGGGCCCATGTAGATAAAGAAAGAAACGGAGCTGCACGTAAGAAACAGGAGTGCCCCTTGGGGGCCGCGTTCGCATTGAATTATATGTATCTCTCCCTCTTTCTATCTCTCTCCATCGTGCTCCTCACTGCTTAACGCCCTCCATCTCGCCGCTCATCGCCCAGGCATTGCATGGGCCCCACGGGCCACCGACATCCGACGCGAAGTCCGACGGAACGAACTGCTGCAGCACCTCCAGGATCATGCCCCTCATGACGGGGTGGCCCGACAGCGCCACGCCATGCTCTCCACGACGCCGCCCATCGCCACGGCGTAACCCGCGTCGTCCGGCAAGCTCATAGTTTTCATTTCGTGATCCAGCCCCTCCTGATTGACTGGCTTCTCCGCCTTGACGCACAAGAACTGGGGACTCATCTTCACTTTCGCCTTCCGCAGTTGGACGGCGCACTCTGCCCGTCGACGCGCGCTTTCTCGAGCCTCATGAGCGTCTCGCGCGGCTCGCCCTCCAGCGCGGCGGTCGTCATCACCTGCGCGTTCTCCGCGTTGACCAGGCACTACAGCGCCACTTGGGCGCCCGCGCTCTTGGCCGAAACTCCTGCCAGGATGGCCTCGGCCAACACCTTTACCTTGGCCCGGGCCTGTGCAATTACGAACGAAGACTTCTCCGGGTAGACGTCCGCCAGCCCGAGCATGAACGCCCCGGCATGGTCGTCGCGCGCCTGCACCTGGAACTGCGCCATGGCCCGAGCCGGGAGGCGAACCAGGGGCACCGGCACGACTGCCGCGCGCAGATGTCTCAGCGTGAGCCGCAGCCAGAGCGGCGGATTCATCTGCTAACTGGCATGCCGACGCTCGTAGACACGCCCGCAACACATCTGCAGCTTCCGCCCGATCTCTAGTCAACGCGCCCCCGAACACGAGCTCCGTGGGGCCCCAACGAGAGCGGCCCCTACCTGAGGCTTCCCTCGGCCATGGCGATATTTCTGGAGGCCTCATTGTCGTCGAGTCCTGCTGGGGCCCCAGATATGGTCACGCGACGCGCAGTCGCTTGCGCGAGCCCCCGAGAACATCGCCAAGCACTTGCCCCGATGCCCCAGACAGAACGCGGGGCGCAGGGCGGCCGCGGAAGCGCGCGCGATCCACTCCAAGCGGCCCAGACAGGCCTTGAGAAACGTGCTACCCCACGCCAACGAAGACGCACGCCCCCTGCTCGACCCCTGCTTGATCTTCCGGGACTTCCAAACCAGAGGGCGCCAGGGGGCCAGGAGACCTCGGGCCATGGGCGGGGCACGTGGCACCCACGACGCACCCGCCCGGAGTCCTACCAGCCCCGCCCGGGCCCGTGGACGAGTAGTCCGAGCGACGCGCGAAACGAAGACGCTCCAGAGGGACGCTCGGGAAGGTGACCGACGCATTGTGAAACTGCTTCGCTCTCCTAACCCAGGCACCCGATCTCAGCATCTGGCCGACCGCGGGGGCGGGGCACGATCTGCTGCGCGAACGAAATCTGGCAACTCATGTCCTGGGGCCCGCATGTCCTGTGAACCAATTCCCCCGCTGCGCGGTCGAGATATGATGGCGCACCTCGAACTGCCGGGCCGCGCCATCGGGTCGGGCTAGTTGTGGCTGGGACAATCCCCTTCGCACACTCAGACTACGTCTGGGCGATCGAGTAGTCAGAGCGCAGGGCGAGCACCGACCCCGCGAACTCTCCGCGACCAGTCACCCAATTCCTGAGACGGAACCCCGCCATCGCACTTGCCCACAGCTGCCCGCGGCCGCCGTTGACCGGGCCATCGATGCGCACGCCGAGAATGCCGCGCAGCGCGCCCAGCTCACCGCGGAGCTGGGCACTCCCAGGACCCCCAGGTCCTGCCAATCACCGAGGCCTGGCCCCAGGCCGCGAGGCGGGCGCTCTCCTTCGTCGCTGGCCCCCTCAGCACGAACGCGCGCGGGCCCATCGGGCGCCGGTCAAACTGCAGCTCCCCCACCACGAACCCCTCGAACGCGCGCCACCGCTGCCGCGGCTGGCCCCCCGGCCCGCGCCCGTTGATCACCTCGAGGAGAGTTCCGGGCGATGACCTAAACTTGCACGATGCCAGAGTCTGCAGCAGCGCCCGCCCGTCGGCGGACACGGCGGGCCTCGCCGCCCGCCCCTCGCGCAACAGGCCCATGACGCCAGGGTCCCTGGAGCCCTGCAGCGCGCACCAACACTTGATCACATCCCCGCCGCTGCCGCGCGGCCGCAAGGTCAGCGCGGGCCTCGGGCGCGGGGCCGGCTCGGGCACCTGGACCTCCAGTCACCTCGACGTCTCCAGATCCGCAGGCCCGCAGGCCATGGCCTCGCGCAACAAGCCCCCCCCTCCTTCTCGCACGCCTTCTCGATCACACCGCAACCCTTGGGCGACTTCCATCTCTCGCCCTTGAAATGGATATCACTGCTCTCTTGGGGCAGCAAGACGTCCACCGCACCCGCGACGATGTCCACGCCCACATCTTCCGCCAGGCGAGCATCAGCTGAATCGATAAGCGGCGGACTCGGCAGACTCGGAGGGCGCGCAACCCCACCGATCAGCTGACCACCGGACACGCCCTGGCCGCTGCTCTGCGCGCCGATGCCCCTCTGCCCCTCCGAGCTCGGGCGCTCGACCTCCCCCTGCTCCTCGGGGTCCTCCATCATCTGGCCGCCCGCGGGCTCGCGCGCCACAGTCGGCATTCGCCTGTCCACAGCCCGCTTGCCACGCCGGCGTCGCCAGCCAGTTGGACGCACAGCTTCATCGCCCCCGCCAGCTGCTTCATGATCTCCCCCCCCGCGATCCTCTGCCGGTGGCTCAGGAGCTGCAGGGCGCGGGGAAGCGCGCCCCATCCGCCTGGCCGCACCCCGCCTGCGATGCCCTCAAACCTCTGGCCGACGTAGTGCTCCACGCCCACCATCTCGGTCCTCGGCCCCGCCTCCACCGCGCGCCGCGCGCGTTGTTCCTCGCGCGCCGCGATCTCACGTGCTCGGGCGACGCCATCGCCGCAGCGCCTGGCAGCGCCACCCAGTAGTTCCTTCGCACCTCGCCCACGCAGATGCCCGGCCTCCACCTGCGACGGGCGCGCATGCCCAAGACACCCCTGTTCTTCATTATGCGCCACACCGCCGCCACGTCGCCGGGCAGGTAATTGGCCGCAACTCTCGGCCGAGAGCCCAGCGCCCGACGCGCCGTCAGCTTGTCCCGCTGCATGAACACCTCCATGCGCGCGATCGCCCTGATCCGCGCCGGCCGCGCCGCCGTCGGGCTGTTCGCGATCGCGCTGTAGGTGGCCATGTCTGGGTCGTCCTGCAGCGCCTCGCCCCGCGCCTCCGGGCCGCGACCGAACGCCATCTGCGCGGGGGGCGCCCTGGCGAACGAGAGGAGGCTATTGTTTAGCAGCAGCTCCGCCACGCACTCGCGCCACTGCGTCTCCGTCTGGGGCTGCGCCCCCCAGATGACGCCCTCCAGCACCATCTCGAGCGGCCGGTTGCGGCGATCGATCTTGCCGCCCTTCTCCTTCTCACCGCCTGCCGCGCCCGCCGCCCCAGCGCCCCGGCGCGCGCGCCAGTTAGAGAACGCGTCGCTCACCTGGGCACTACGAGCACCTCGGTCTCGCGCATGGGCGAGCCCAAACCTGCGCCAACATATCCGCCAGGTTACCAGACGTCTCCGGCACCCCGATCATCGACCCCACGCGGCGCGGCGAGCTCGCCTCATCAATGATAGGCGCGTCATCCGCGGTTCTAACGACCGCTTGGCTGGAGTTGGCGCGCGCAGTTCGCGCGAGATGCGGCCGCGGACATGGGGCATCGGCGCGCGGAGGGCATGCTGCAGCGCAGGACCAGGCGCGCGGTGTTCAGCCGGCGGCGCCCCCGGAAGCCGATGGGGCCATGGCGCGCGGCGTTCGACGCCATTGCCGAGTGGGGGCGCCCAGCGGCGAGGCCGGGTGTCATGCAGCGCGCGATGGGGGGCCAGATGTGATCGGGGGCGCGCAGACAGGGCGCGGGGCGTCAAGCGTCGGCCTCGCAGGTCAATCCAGGACAGCCCCCGAAAACTGCGCGTGCAACTTGGGCGCTGCAAGAACGCGTCCGCTGCAACATCCTCGCCGCGCGCGTGCGACGGAGGAGGCGATCGAGGCGGCCCGCAAGTTTCGTTATCCAAATGCGGGGGGGCGAAGTGTCCGAGGGTCGCTCGACGTCGCGCCCCGGCAGTGGCTCGTCTGCCGCTGAAGTACGCGCGCGCGCGAATAGCAAGGAGATGCCGAGGTGGCAGGTTGAAAGCGACCGGGCACCTCGGGCCGAACTCGCAGCAGCTAGCGACGCCCACGCACGCACCTCGTCTGCGAAACCGCCCAATCACGGACGGGCACCCCGAGACTCGCACAATTGGGGGGGTCTCGCACATGAAGCGCCTGCCCCGCCCCACCTGATGGACCGCCGCCTCCACGACCACGCGCGCCAGACTGGCAGACCATTTTACGCCCTCGAAACGCTGCGCCACCTCCACCGGACGCTCCAGCGGCACGCACTGCCGCATAACAGACAGCTTCCACCATGGTGGGCACACGTGAACGAAGCACGGATAGTCCTCGATGACGCGCCGCTACATAGCGCCGCAGTCGCCATCCTGATTCACGCCCCAACCTGCCACCTCGTCGAAACTTCAGCCTTCTCTGAACCCCGACAAAACCGCGACTGGCACGATCTGCGGCGGGAAGATCAGCTCAGTCACCACACTCCCGGCCCGTGGGCCCCGACCCAGCCCCACTGAGAAGTCGGCAACGGCTGGGCCCCCTCATCGTGGATCATTCTCTGCGCGCGCGGACGACGCGCAGGTCCACCTGAAGCCCCTCTTCTCTCGATTCAGAAAGGCGATCTCACAGTGCCCCGCTGCCGTCTCATTCAGCGGCATGGTCAAATCGACCCGCTTCAAGCACATCGAGTCCGCCTCGCAGTCGACCGCGCCCTCATCCGCGACATCGGCCTCGGACGCAACGCCCGTCTTCTCCTCGTCCCCCTGGTTATCCCTCATCTCGTGCCCCAACCTCTTCCACCTCTCCTCCTGGATAAGCCTCGCCCGCGCGTTGCCCTCGTGGACCTTCAAGATGCTGCGGATCTCGACGCCCTGGTCGCACTCGCCCTGCATCTGCGCATGCCCGTCGATCTCCTGCACCGCCTGAACCAACACGTCCTTCGCCACTGATCTCCGCGGGCTCCGCGAGCACCATATGCGAGCTGCGGGCTGCACGCGGCCCCTTGCAGCCCCTTCTGAAATTACCGATCTTCGCGCGCCTGATACACTTCACCCGTCGTCCAAGCTTGTCGAAGACCTGCCGACTGGGCCCGCCGACGCCACCCCGCCGCGGCGCCCGCCCTGGCCGCAGTCCTCGATCCACCCGCTCCTTTCCCACGGCCGTCCGCGTCTGCTTCCAGGTCGCCGCGATCCCCACCGCATCCGACTCCTCGATGGGCTCCGCGGCCTGGACGATCGCACATGTTTCCTGGGCAACGTCATCCTCGGCACCCTCATCCTCGCACGGCTCTGGCGGCGGTGGAATCTCGCCATCTGCTGACTCCCCCTCCACCGCGCACGCCGCTTGCGTCAGCCTCCCCGGGGGGGACAACATGGAAAGCCATCCGAATCGCCGCGCGCGCCTCTTCCACATGCCAGCTCCGATGCGTGGCTGACAAGATCGTCGCCCTGCCGAAATTGCCCAACTTCGCGCCACACAAGATCAAGTAGCCCCGCGCGACAGGTGGAAGATCCACGCCTTCCTTGGCCAAGCGAGCGAACACCAGCTGAGCCGTCAGGCGTAGGCCTTCGTGGTCTCCTGTTTCTGAATGCGAAGGCTGAAACCTTCCCCCATCGCCTCTCCGAGGCGATGCGCTGCCACTTTGTCCAGAAAACACTCGTCGAGGCCCGCCAACACCATGTTTTCGCCGCCATCAAAATTGATCTCCGCGAAATCCACGCTCTCGACCGCCAACGCCGCGTGGCCGCCCATCAATGTGCACAACCACGGACCGAGCGCCGCCCAGGGTGCGTTGCCTTCTGGTCCACGATCGTCGCCCTGGCCCACCTCTTCCACAATCGATAATCATCGTCCTCGTGCTGAATTCCTGCTCTATCACCTGCTCCTCATTCGAAATTCTGGCCCAAGCCACTGCGAATACTCTTTCGCGAATAGAACCGAGCTGGATGGTATGTTTTCCCTGCTGCTAACGGCCGAGAGCGCCCGCTGTGCCCTGGCGGCGCACCAGCCTGACCCAGAATGCTACAAAGCAAAAACATGCATAGGCACAGTCACGCACTCAGTGGGGCTCTCTGTAGACAAAGAATCGGAGCTGTTCCCTGGGAGGCCGTGTTCGCAGATCCCTTCCCCGCCGGGGAGGGTGGGGGGCCGGGGAGGCCGGGGGGGGGCGACCGCGCGTTTGTGTGGCCCGTTGAATGTTTGTGTGGCGCGGTGCGTGCTTGTGGCCCGGCGCGCGGCCAGATGGGTGTTTCTGTGGTCCGCGCTGGCTTCTCAATCCAAAGCAATACTTGTACGACCACGTTTAAGGTTCTAAAGAAGTTGTGGGGGGGAGGGGTCCGTTTCGCCATCTATTCATCACCCAGGACACCCATCATAAAAACACCCAGGCAACCACCAGAACAAGGCGGCATTTAGTTGCCTGGGCGCTCTTCCCTTCAGGGAAGCATGCTGAAAACATTCCAGGCCGAAGGGCACCACGATGCGACGCGATGCGATGCGACCACCGTTGCGGACAGCGTCCGGGCCTAGAGCAGACCAGGTGGGTGAGGCCATGGCATCTAGGATCTGAGGTGTCTGGATACATGCAGTGCGAGACATATAAAAATCCCACCAGCCCTTTGGGCGTGAGTGGTTTAGCGAGCTCTCTCTGTCCTCAACCCCCCTTCTTCCCCTTCGGGGAAGGGTTTACCCCTCCCCCTACCCCCTCCCCTGGACCTGGAGAGGGAGTTCCGAGTAGTGTCAAGGGGGGCCTTTTTCGACTCCTGGGAGGGCCAAAAAACGACGACCCTCACGAGGATTCTGGCCCCGGGGGGGGGGGGAGTTTGGTGCCTCTACTCGTCGTTGAAGCAAAAAACATTGATTTGACTAAGGTTTTGGCCCCATTTTGGCCTTCTGAGGGGGCCGCGCTCATTTTCCTTCATACCAAAACCATTGATTGTACGAAGGTTTTGGGCTCATTTTGTCCTTCTCAGGGGGTAGCGCTCCTTTGCGCTTCTGAGGAGGTCGCAAGAGGCCCCAAGATGGCCCCAAGAGGCCCCCAGGAGGCTCCCAAGAGGCCTCCAAGAGGCCCCCCGGAGGCCCCCAAGAGGCCCCAAGAGGCTCCCAAGAGGCCCCAAGAGGCCCGCAAGAGGCCCCCTGAGGCCCCAAGAGGCCCCCAACAGGCCCCCAAGAGGCCCCCTGAGGCCCCAAGAGGCCCCCAAGAGGCCCCCAAGAGGCCCCCAAGAGGCCCTCAAGAGGCCCCAAGAGGCTCCAAGAGGCCCCCAAGAGGCCCCACGAGCCCGAACGACTCACACCAGGGCGAGGGGCCCGAACGACTCACACCACGAAGAGCCCGAACGACTCACACCACAAAGAGGTTCCCGAACGACTTACACCAGGACGAGGCGCCCGAACGACTCACACCACGAGGAGCCCGAACGACTCACACCACGACGCGGGCCTCGAACGACTCACACCACGAGGAGCCCGAACGAGTCACACCAGGAGGAGGGGCAGCGCTCATACAAGCCACCACGAGGAGCCCGAACGACTCACACCACGACGAGGGCCCCGAACGACTCACACCGCGAGGAGCCCGAACGAGTCACACCAGGAGGAGGGACCCGAACGACTCACACCAGGACGAGGGGCCCGAACAACTCACACCACGAGAAGCCCGAACGACTCACACCAGGACGAAGAGCCCGAACGACTCACACCACGAAGAGCCCGAACGACTCACACCAGGAAGAAGGGCCCGAACGACTCACACCAGGACGAGAAACCCCAAACGACTCAAACCACGAGGCGCGCTTTCTCTCCCTCCTCCTCCGCCTCGTCCTTCTCCCGCTCCCCCCACAAGGAGGATGTACAAGGAGGCGGGAGGAAGGAGTAACGGGGGAGATATGCGGGGGCAGGCGGAAACACGCCTGACAAACACGATTGTCGGCATGTTTCGCAAGAGTTGCTGTTGAGAGATGGGCTGGTGGGGATACGCGAAGCGTAAAGAATTTAGGAGGAAAGGGGAGGAGGAGGAAAAGAAAGTCCTTGGTGTCGGTGTCGGCGCGGCATGGGCAAGACGTATCTCAACCTTCGCTGAGATTTTACGTCATTGGTCTGAGTCCCGGGTGCTGGTCGACGTGAGGTCGGTGAAGTGGTGCGAGCGCTGTCCATGCTTCGGTGTCTTGAGCTGTTTGCGTCCATGTGATGTCATTCGGTTGTACTTTCGAATGGGTTTGCGTGGG